ATTTTTTAAATTCATATAACTTCTTAAATATTTATTCTAAATATTGTTAATATTTTTATTAACTTCAAATTATCTATATGTTATTTATATATTTTTAATAACTAAAAGTATATAAGACTAAGTTTTTATGATAAGAAAGACTGAAAAATATTATTAAAGATAAATAATATATATTCATTTTGTAATGAGATAGAATAACTAAGTTTTACATATTTATTTAGAACTTCAAGAATTATGATACAAATAATAAGTTTATTAAGTAACTATCTTTCAAATTAATAACAGTAGTTTATTATAAGTGATCTATCTTTTAAAATCAAAAATATAATTTTACAAATTATCTGAAATTTCTATTAAACAAGAAACTTTTTGAGTTATTAGCCACTTTTTCTAAGCTAAGATACATAATATATTTATATAAATTATATATTATATAATATAACTGATTCTATTACTAATTTAACTAAGCACAAGTATTATTAGCATTTCTGATATTAATACAATTATTAATGTTATTGTTGTTATTAACACAAGTATTGTTAGCATTATTAGTGTTGCTAGTATTGCTGGTATTATTAGTATTAACACTAATCTAAGAACCAATAATATTTAAGATATAATTGTCCAATAAAATAATAGCTATCTAAAAATAATTATCCAATAGAAATACTAATAAATATAATCTAATAATAATTAATATCTTCATTATCTAATAGAATTATTCAGCAAATATTATATTATGACAATATTAATTATCATATATTAATTTGTAGCTTATGTTAAAATCTATAACTTTACTTAGAACATTAACAAATATTTACTTGAACTCAAACTGAACTTTTAATCAGGTTCAAGTCAGGTTCAAAATTTGAACCAAACTCAAACCAGACTTTTAATTAAATTCAAATTTTTGAACTGGATTTTTGATCAGATTCGAGTCTGATTCAAGCTCAAACTAAGCCAGACTCAAACTGAATCACATGAAAAATGATCATGTAATTTTATATGATGAATCCAGCCAATCAAAAATAATATATTGATATTTCAGGTGCTGAAAATTTCACTATTATTATTAAAATTGATGTTAAAACAAATCTATCTACAAATAATTTTATAATAAAATGAACAAAAAAATACATAATGTTATAGATTATACCAAAGACTATTTGATAATGTATTTGTTTTAATGATTATATATTTAAAATAAAATTACTTTATAGTTCAAAGTATTGGATGTCTTTAGACTGCGTGCACCATACTAGATTTCTAATAATGCAATATTCTTTTAAAATTCAGAATTATCGATGCGTAGCACCCTATGACGAATGTGTGAATGCATAAAAGTTGGATTTGAATAAATATTTTTTTGAATATTTGTCACAAATATTTGAACATCTTTGTCAAATACAATGAGTAACATGAAGTTATCAGTTGCAGACATCCATTTAGGGATAGGAATCGATTCTTTAGAATCAATTAATTTAGAATCGAGAATCAATTAAAATTAAGGCAAAATTGATTAATAACGATAATGCATAAATCGTTTAAATAATTGGAAAATCATGATTTTCACTTGTGAAATATTACAAACTGCTTTGTGTAATGAAATGGATACAGAATCAATTGCTTCTATACATGTATTATTTTTACTACCTAGTATCTCTACGAATTCAATTAATCAAAGTGTAATTTCAACTAATCAAAGTACAACTTCAACTATTCCAACAAAAAGGGAAAAAATCAACATGCAATGAAAACAAAAACCAAAGACCAGTTATGTCATCACCATTATCATCACTATTGTTGTCGTCGTCGTCATCATTATCGTAATTGTCCTCAAGAATCAATTTTGATTCCTATCCCTATACCCAATTCTTTCACAACTTGCACGTAAATATTTGACAATTCCTACCATATCAGTTCTATCTGAACGCCTATTTTCAGAAACTTAATTACACATGAATGAAATCGATTAAATAGCCATTTAGTAATGTTTATTAAAAGAAATTGAGAATTTTTCCTAATGCTAATAAATAAAAACTGATTAATAACAAGTCCAATAATAATAGGTTCTACTTGAGAATTGATTAATCGAATTTATTTAAAACGATTAATCGAAATTATTAATCAATTTTAATTTTAGAATCGATTCTGGGTTGAGAATCGATTCCTACCCCTACATCTACGTATTTAAACTTTAATATGTAATGAGGCATTTTTACAACAATGGTCATTCACACCACAATATATTCAAATTTATTCGAATCTTTTTTATTCGAATACATTAGTTCTGTATATAGGATAGGATTGTAAATCATTTTGTACATGATTAAGCTATTATTTTGATTGGTTAGAAGGTTTCGTCAAGTATCATTAGTACACATATGAGTAAATTCTGCAAATACTGCACATGTGACGCGTGATAAAAGGTGCTGAAAATTTTGCAGATCATTACTTATAAATAAGTGTGATTATTTTTTTATATTAATGCTGAAATTTTAAGATAAAACATTACTTGATACAAATGATGCATTTTTTTTACATTTAAAGTTCATATAAAAAATCCTTTGCAATTCAAAGTATTTGATGCGACTAAGCTGGGCGCACTATACATATACTGCACATGTACGTATATAGAGTTTCAGACGCGGACATCCAGTGATCAGATTCGAGTGAAAACACAGTATATCGATATACCGCTACTGTTAGATTAAATACTTTATTGGCTAGGTACACCGATTCTACAAATTCTGCATGTGCAATAAACTGGACACTCTAACATGAATTTTATTACGCACATATTGTACATGTACATGTATACGTACGTACATGTAATTTTTCGACAGTATGAAATATATCAAATATAGAATTAATCATTGTCATACAATATTTATATTTACGTATATTTATATCGATACGTACATCATTGATGTCTTTAAGTTGTATATCAATATGATTAAATACCATTAATTTGTGATTAAATGCTATTGCTTTGTCTTTAGTTGTATATCGATATGATTAAAAGCCATAAACCTTAAAATCTATTGGGATTGCTTTATTCTCTATTCCACAAACGTCCACAGTCTAGGAAACTCAGTATAATTATTCGCCAGTATGAAATATATCAAATATAGAATTAATTATTTTCTTACAGCATTGACTTGTCTTTGGCTGTATATCAATAGTAAGCCTCAAGATATTTTATAGAAATAAAAAACATCTATCAATAGCTATATTTATTTATTTATTCTCGAAATTCAATAAATAGAATTGATAATTTCATTGTTTTCTTGGTTTTTTTAATTAACCAACACACGTATTAAAATCACACAAAATCGAATCGACTAATAAACAATGATATCCTTGTTTCGTGTGTCTCTTATCGGCTTTTGCTTAATCTTTATGGCAATATTCACTCTAAATATAGAGAGTAATCCACTTCTAATAACAAAGCGATTGTAAGTTGTAGAATTCTCAATAAATGAATTAATGTTCTTTCTATTTATTTAATATTATAAACCATTCGATGACAGACCAGATATAGATGATACGGATAATCCATCCTTTGAAGGTTATCCCCATGGTAGATACTACCTTCTTCCTCCTGACTATCGGCTAGCCTAGTGCCAGACGAGGTGGTGGCGGCTAAGAAGGCAAAACCACCGGCAAAATTTTTGAATTTAACGAATTGGTTAATAAAATAACCGGTTTTAAAGTCTAAATAATAAACCACAAATTTATTTTTGCAAAATTTAATGCATAAAATGTTATACATGTATTATCAGTATAATTCAAATATATAAAATTACAGTTGCTCAATTGTTTTACAATCCTCTTTCCGATAAATAATAACGATAACGGTTCAAGACTATCGCTAAGAAAGGTAACAATTCTTTAAAAACTAATATATGTCTTAATTTCCCAATGAAAAATCTTTCAATTTACAATTTCGTATTAAAAAATCCGCTGTTATGAATAAACGAATTCCGAATATAAATTAGGATCATATTCTAATTATTATACGTCCATGTACATGTATATAGGGCAGACAGATATTACGTAATAAATGTACATGTATAAGGTTACATGTACGTATTGACTACTAGAACATATCGATATGATTTTCTATATGTACATGTCTGGGCTCCCTTAATAAATAATATTGTTGCAGCATGGAATATACATGTATTAAATACATGTATAGATGAATCTTTTTGTTTTTTGAAATGATAATTTTCTCGAATTAATTAATTGGCTTTAATACGTACTGGCTATGCAATTTTTTGTAGCCGATATCGAGACAAAACATATTGAAAGGAGAAACCGAAAAAGTATCTGGATTTTAACTTAACTCACTGAGAAAAGCTATCGAGTAACTTTATTGAAGCTATTCGAAAGATTAGATTTTCGGTTAATAACGATAATCGAACACAGCAAAGAAATTAGTATCTGATACAAATCTCACCTTTCTTTTTTGAAATCTTTATCAATAATATATTCTAGGCTTAAACTCCATCGATTTTGAAAGCTCTAAAATGTATAGAGTACCGTTTAAAATGTTATTCCCTTTTAGATACAGGTTCTATACCGATGCCAATGCATATCGATATAAATAACTAAAAAAATAGCAGCAATAATTCTTCGGACTGACTATGATATATGACTTTTTGATAGTTTAATTAATAGCCCATTAAAATAAATATTAGATTTTTCACTGTATTTAAAAAATCGTGCAGCTTATAAAGAATGAAATTTGAATTTTATTATTGATAAAATATAATAATATGATGACGACTACGATGACGAAGACATCGTTAGCACATGTCTTCGAAACTAAATTCCACGTCATGAATTTTCTCAAGCATTTTTTGTACTTGGCAATTTTAGCGACATATTTAAGAATAATATACGTCTCCGCCTATTCTAGTGTCTCATACACGGAAGACCAAGATAACCTCATAATCTTCGATAGTTACACTGATATAAACGGAACAATAATAATGCGTATGGTAAAAAATAACAGTATCGCGCAATGCACTGTCGCCGGAGAACCACGCATGCATCTACGACTCGTTTTCTCGAATGGAACTGTTCGTCCATTGGATTTCGACTTTCCCGTGAATAAATGGAATTATTGTCCGACTGACCGGATTCATGTATGCTTAGTTGAACCGAATCTTATTCTGTTAAATTATTTTAATTTTTCGGATGTTGAACCTGAAAAGAATGGCGTTTATCAAGAGAATGGAGTGTTTGTAGACTATTGGGGAAATATTAAAAAGTAATTTATAGTTTTATTATCATACCATTTAATATAATCTTTTTAATAGATTTTTGGATCTCAACTATTAATACTACTAATTATTCATATAATTAGTACTTTTCGGCTTGGTTTTGGGTCTCCGTACCGGTACCACAGAAGAATTACAATGGGATTTAGCTCCTCAGACGGGATATTAAGAACCTATCAGTTGCCTAATGGAGATATAGGGTGGAACAGATTCACAAAGCCGTAAATAAACTCGTTATTCATCAGATCAATTTTTTAATATATATTATCTTAATAAATTCTTTCATTATTTTAAAGTGATGAAAACGCCCAAATATCGAATGACGGAGAAGGCCTTTTCTATAATAAATCCATAAATAAAAATATCACTACTTTCAGAACATTTAATTTACTTGAAGGAGGATTTGGCTGTATTGTAGTCATCCGGCCTATAGCTCAAAGTCCACTGGAGTTACAGGATGTGTCTCTTCCACAATGGAATGCATATGTATCATTTTTGAAAACTGGCAGCTCGATTCCGACAAAACCTTTTATTCTGTATCAGACACATATGGAATTCATAAAACTAGAATTTACGCAATGTGCAATAGTCTATGATGGAAGTGGAAATGAATGTCTTATGACAACATTGATGAATCATACTGTTTCTATGAAAACTCAAAATCAAATAGCAACAAATACAAATATCATATCAAATGACAATAATTCTACAACAACAGCAGATCTAAACCAACTATTTAAAACAACTTTAAATATTCATTTTGGAAGTCAAGGTTCTGTGACTGACATTCAAAAATTAGCTGCTGATTCTCAAATCAATGACTTGTATCCACTTTTCTATGGTGGATATGTAACAATTAGAGTGGTGAATAATGCAACAAATGAGACAGGTGGTGATATGCTGGATCGTGATGGTATTGTAAGAGAAAAATGGAGTTTTAAAACATTTACTAATCATTCCTGTATGTTTCCTCTGAACAATGCTATATGGGCTGCGAAAAAAGATTCAAAAGCAGCTAGAAATTGGACAATATTAACAAAAAAATTCCCCAGACTTAAAGCTACAAGTATGTTTCTTATTTATTTGTTGATTTTTAAATTTACCTTTCGCTATTGTTATTAACGTTAATTTTACAATACATGTAATTACGTATCCATAACGATAAGATGCTGATGATCGTTATCGAAATCCAAATATTGGCACTACGTATCCAAAAATTGGAGCCGTTATTCCATCTAATATAGCACAAATAAACATCACCTATGACGAGCATGTTATCTTGTCATCCGGTAATATTACGATATATCAAGAAGGCAAATCTGGATCAGCTGATATTTTTCGTCAAGGAGTAAATCGATTGTCGAAAGATTGCCAGATTACCATAAAAGACAAAACAGTCTTGATTCCTGTTTTGGACTCAACTTTTAATGTCCAGAATGCTACTTATTATGTGATTGTTGATACGAATTTCGTTCGAGCTTCTGATACAGGTGAAGCGTTACTTGGAATGGGTCAAGACAGTTGGCGATTTACTACTGGTAAATATTTTTGACTGTCTTTTTATGTCTTTGTAGCTGTTATTATTTATAATAACTTTTTTGAATTTCTCTTGTAGAGCCATTTAAAGCTGGTGGAGACGATAATGGTATTTATATTTTAAAATTATTATCGAATTGATGATGAATAAGTTTAATTACTGATATGTAAATTCTATAATAGGCAGAAAATCAGGAATGATTCGATTAATACCTGAGGCTACAACAGAATTTAAAAACCTATTGAAGAGTAGTTCTTCCATCTATGAAGATATATTGAATGAGCTTGCAAATGTGCTTCCAATCTCATGTAAAAGACTCAAAATAAAGAAAAAATACCAAATCGACAGTGATCAAATTCTTCTTCGAATAACTATTTTACCATCAGAAAATAATTTCGAAAATAGCATCAAGCAGATTGTGAGTAATTTGAAAACTCTTATAAAACATAAGGAAATCACGTCTATTTCAAGATACAATTATACTGAGTGGTTAGATAGTAGTTATGGGTTCCAAGAATCAAGTAAATATACTTTTCAAATTATTGGACTTTGTAATTTATAGTGAGTCTGTTGTATGTTAATATTATTACTTTTTATACAAGTTGATTTATGGGAAGAATACAAGGTTGTGTTTGTTGTAGCTATTACTGTCAATTTTTTGATTGCTATTTTGTTTTTCATGGCTCGGCGTAAGAATAAACAAGTAAGTTTCAGTTTCAATATTTCTATCTCATTTTTGATAATTGCTATGGTTTTTTAAAGATGCAATTCTTTTTGAAAAATCTCTCATTAATAGAGTCAAAATATTGTCATCGTTACAAGTGCACTGATTCTACAAGATGTTCTTTTCGATTTTGCATTTGTGATATTTAATGGTAAAGATGTACCGAAACTTTTTATTCCCAGGTATATGAAAGCTTATGATTATACATGTAATCAAACTCTTGATATCTCATCATGACTAACAAAATATTTGCTCATACATACTATCTCTTTTAGTTTACTCACACTAATAATTCCAATAGCCATGAATTGCACAATCGCTCTCTACGTAATGTTATCGGAAAATTCACGAAACGACAAATTTAATTCCTGGTTCCGAAAGTATCCACAAGTCGCTGCAGCGTGCACTCTGTTTGCTAGTGGCGATGTTGTTATATTGCATGTACTTACTTCTCAAGTGGCAGGCCTTCAAATCTTTTCTGCTACGTTTTCTGAACATGCCGAGACCGTTATATTTATAACGAGCACGTTGAATTTGTTTATTGAGGATATTCCGCAGTTTATTATACGGGTAATTGAATAAAATATACTTAGAAAAATTCTGTATTTATTATTTAAATGCAAAATTAATATTTATTACGTATTTAGATTCTCCATTGGCAGAATACTGTCGAATACGGTATAATTCCATTGATTGCGTTATGGACCAGTATACTAGTTTTATTGAATGCTTTTATTGGTCGACTATATAATGGTGCAATACAATGTCAGAAAAGACGAAGATTGATAGCAATTAGTACAGAACTCGAGGAGGAAAAAACTGGCATATAATTATTATTTAATAGCTTTAATTCTGGGAAAATGTTATAACTTTTTGAATTTGCTCTGTTGTTTTATCTTTTAGTTTTGTTATAAAATATTAAAAATTTAAATTTAGATTCTACGTACAATAAAAACGATTGATAACAAAATTATGAAATTTTATTGGTTCATGTCAATGTATTTAATCCATGTAAAACATAATAAAATGTGGTTTTTTCTCTTTATATAAAAGTTTTCAATTTTATTAATCAATATTTGTTAGTTTATACAAAATAATTTATATTTTAACATACAGTAAAATCTTTCTAAGTGCACTCCCTTGGAATCATAGTAAAAAAACAGGCAGAGTGTAAAATAGATGTGTTTTATAACTTGAAACCAAGTCATATCATACATGTTCAGATTTAATTAAATCATGTACAGATTTAGTATCTCTATGAACAAAATTAAATCAGACTTTTGTCTAAGTTCAAGTATGATCTAAAATTTGAATTAATTTGAATTGAACTTTGGCTTGAGTTCAAGAAATTCAAAATTCAAACTAAACTCAAACTGAATCATTATACAAGTTTAAGTCTGGTTTGAGTTTAGTTTGAAATTGATATATAATATTATATATTGATTTATAATTTTGAATTTAAATTATAACTTTAATTATAAGTATAATATTACAAGTTTGCTTATTAATTAAGAAATTAGCTTGCAAATCTAAACAAGAATTAAAAAAATTAAACAAAATAAAAAATATCTAAATTCTATATTAATTTTTACTAAATTAATATAATTATAATTAAAACTCCAATCGGTTCGGGTCAACCCGAAACCTGATCCAAAAATCCCGGTTCGGGTTGATCTCAAACCCGACCCGAAATATTTCGAATCAGCCTAAAAATCATTATTTCTCGTTCAATATTAATTGAAATTAAACGAAATTTTGTGGATATATACACAATTAAATTCCAAACAACTCAAGACACAAAATACAAATGTCTTAGTAAAAATAAAAGTTATTAACGAAAAAATATTTTACGATTTTCGGGTCAAACCCGACCCGAACAGAGTTTTAATTATAATAGTAATATAATTTTCTTTAATTTGTAAAAATTATGAAAATTCAAAAATAATTAAAAACAAAAACTATCCAAAAATAATTTAATAACAAAAATAACTTATTAAATATTTTCTTATCTTAATATTTCACTTTTTTTATCTAGTTATTCTATCTTATTTTACCTTTTTTATCTAGTTATTTCATTTTTTTATTTTTTTCATTCACTTATTTTATCTTTTTTATCTAGTTATTTATTTATTTATTTATTTATCTTTTTATTTACTTATTTTATCTTTTATCTTTTTTATCTACTTATTTTATCTTTTTTTATTTGATATTTTATCTTTTATTTTATTATTTTATTTTGTTATTTTATTTTTTTACCTTTTTTGATAATTTATCTTATTTTTTAGAGAATTGTTATTATTATCAATTTTTATATTTATAAAAAAATATATAAATAAAAGTGCTAAGTTTTAACTTGATATATTAATATAAACAAATAAAAATATAAATAAAAAAAATTCTTTTATCAAATAATATTCATCTTTTTTATTTTTTATTATATATTTCAAAGCTTGTATACAAATAACTTTGAATTATATTGTTATTTTATATAATTTTTTAGTTTTATTCTAATTAAATATGTGAAACTAAATCATGTAAAAAAATTTATATATAAATTAAAAGAGAAAATATAATATTTAAAAACAAATAATATATATTTATTTGTTAATTAGTTAAAATAAAATCAAAAATATTCAAAAATAATTATATTCTTTTATATACAAGTAAGAATACTTATTAAATATTTTAATAATTATTTAAATTTTATTAAAAATATAATCAAATTTTGAAATCTATTAAAACTAAAATCTTATCAAACTTTTAATTAGTATACAACTCATTAAAATTTTATTAAATATTTTTGAAAAGATTTTAACAAGCATCTTTATATACAAGTAGAATATTAATTATTTATTTGTTAATTTAATTATAAAACTATAACTTTACAATTAAACAAGAGATTAATTATAAGAATTATAATTTTATAATTAAAATAAAATATTATAAAATAAAATATAATAACTTCACAATTAAGATAAAAAATTATATAAAAATACTAGTTATTTTATATTTATAAAAAATTATAAAAATTAAACTTTCAATAAAAATACAAATTAAATTAAATTTCAAATTAAAATTCAAATAAAAATTTAAATTAAAATTCAAATAGAAATTCTAACTGAAATTTGAATCAAAATTTGAATAAGAATTCAAATTTCTAATACTAATTAAAAATATAATTATTCAATAAAATAATATAAGAAATAATATTGAATTATAATCTTAAATCTATTAAAATATTATTATTATAATTATTAAATTTTTAATTAATAATTTGAAATAAATATTTTATTTTTAACTAGTTTTTTTGATATTTGATTTTTGATTTTTGTTATTTTTTGAATTTTTGTTAATTTATTATTTTTAATTTTGTTAATTTATAATATTATTATAATTATATTATAAAATTTATTAATTCTATAATTTGTAATATTTTATAAAATTATAAAAATCATGCAAAGAATTTAAAATATTTTTTAATTATATTTTTATATTTTTCTACTTTTATTTTTCTATTTCATATTACTTTATCTTTATATTTATATTTATTTATTTTAATAAATATATCTTGATCAATTATAAATTTGTAAAATATTTATTTATTTATTTATTTTGCTTTTTTATTTTTTTACTTTTCATATTTAGTAAATTAGAACTTTATTTTTAATTAATATATTTATTTTTTATATTCTTTTTTTTATATTAATATTAATAAAAATATATAAATACAAATTATAATTGAGTCTTAATGTAATATATTAGAACTTGAAAATAAATAATATATTAAAACAAATATTTTTTAATATTTAAATAATTCATTTGCTTTTTATAATCTCTTTTTTGTGAGAAAAATAAAATAAAAGAGTTTTCATTATTTTTTTGTTATTTATTTAACTTTGGAATATATTTATATTAGTACAAAGAATTAATTAATTAAAATATTATTTATTAATTAGAATATTTTATTTAATTAATATTATTATTATTTTTATAGACTTTAAATTTTTAATGTATTACTTACATATAATACTCTAATCAAATTGGATTTAATTCATAATTTAATCTGGAATATATATTTTAGATTAGATCAAATTGTGATCAAATTTGATTTAAAATATTTTGAATTAGCCTAAAAATCATTATTTCTCATTCAATATTAATTAAATTTAAATAAAAATTTGTAAATATATATAATTATATTCTGAATAATTTTATTTAGATATCAAATACAAGTATTTTAGTAAAAGTTATTAACTAAAAATTATTTTATAATTTTTAAATCAAATCTGATCTGAATCTAATTTGATCCAAAATTATCAGTTTAAGTTAATCTTAAATCTGATCCAATCTAATTCAAATAGAGCTTTATTCATATATTTCCAATAACTAAAGATATATAAAACTAAGTTTTTATAATGGGAGAAACTAAAAACTATTATTAAAGATAAGTAATATATATTTTTATTGTGACAAACTAGAGTAACTTTATTAATTTTTACTAAGTTTTTTTATAAACTTAAAGATAATAATTCAAGATAATAAGTATTTCAAAATTAATATAATTTTATTAAATTATTTAACAAGAAGATAATTGAAGTAATAAGACTTATCTTTTTAAAGCTAAGATACAAGTTATATTTATAAAAAATTATTGGATCTAATTTGACTATTATATAGTTAATCTTTAGTATTTTTGTTGCTGTCATTGCTTATATCACTATCATTACTTGAATTATTATCATTACTTGGATTGCTTGCATAGCTCAGTGAACTAATTATTAATAGTGTTACCATTTTGATGGGGCTTTCGAAATACTCAAAGGTATTTATAAAATTTAAGGAATATTCAAAGGGAAACTTTCAATGTCTTAATGATAATTCAAAGTCTTAATAATACTTTATGGCTTTAGACTGAATATAAATTAAAGTACAACAAGTACTTATAGAATCACTTAAAGGTTAGTAACAATTATGTTCTTTTAACGCAATAACTGGACTGCTAAAAAGAGTTCTCAAAATCTCAATATCAAATATAATATACGTAATAAAAACATCTTTAAATCTTTGAAGTCAGAATATAAGATATAATATTCATATTATCAACAATATAAGACTGAAGATAAATATATTGAACAATGTATTATTAGCAATACAAAGTCAAAAACAGATTTATGAATTATAATAATAATTCCTTTATTTAATATAATGTTCAATAGACTTCATCACAATGTGTTGTTCAGAGAGTCTAGGATAAAGATGATAACTTTATAGTGCTTCTGGTAATACTGCTTAAGCTACTATAATATATGTTGATTCAAAGTTTATATAACTTCTTATAAAGCTATTATACAAAAAACAAGAATACTTTGTTAAAAGAGTATAGAGAGGAAATTGTGCTTAATTACCTACTCTACATAAAGTGCAAACTACTTTTCTTTAAATGATCAAAACTATGTGATAACTAATTAAACGTGATAATTGGGAATTACTATCTAAAAGAACTTGTTTATATCTAATTCTAACAACTACAATATATGTTGTTTTAATACAAATCCAAGATATAATTTCTAGATTATACGAATTCATGTTTGCTATATCACTTAAATTCTATTAGTTCAATATTCATTTGCTCATTCATTTAGTTATTCATTCATTTGCTCATTTGCTTGTTCGCTCGCTTGTTTGCTCACTTCACGTGATTTGATCTTTATTCAATAACATATGAGATATTTATAATTCAATAATATAAAATATTATGATGAAATATCATTATACAACAGAACCCTCGCTCTTAAGATTTTGCTCCATAAAATTAAATATAAAATTATAT